CAAACCAAAGCTACCATCATCTCGTGCCGGGATGAATGCAAACACACCTGCCTGTCTCCCTACGCCCACTCTGGCACCCCCACCACCCGCTCTGCACGTGCGGGTGTGGGAATGTCAGGATGCCCCATGCCCTTTGCCCCCACTGTACGTCCTCCCTAAGCACCCTCCCTGCTCCTCCCACCTTGCCGCCGCCCCTCCACAGCCTTCCTCAGGCCCAGGCCCTGTGCTGGGGGCGCTGGGAATACCTAGCGTCCCAGAACTGCAAGTGCCTTCCAGCCTGAACCGCCAGATGGTAGGCATTCCTGAGAGCTGGGCATGAGGGTAAACGGAGGCAGCCAGTGTTTGGGCGTATGTGGGTGAGGGGTTGACTAGTTTTGAAACTTCGATCTTATGCCTCCTTTTATTGAAAACACGTTTTTGTTGATTTTGAAAGAGAGAGGGGTGAGGAGAGAGAGAGAGAGAGAGAAACATCGATGTGAGAGAAACATCGATGTGAGAGAAACATTGATCATGGATGGTTTGCCTCTGGTATGCACCCCGGCCAGCGATCGAACCCACAACCTGGGCATGTGCCCTGACCTAGAATCAAACCGGCGACCTTTCGGTGCTCAGGACGGTGCTCCACTAACTCAGCCACATCTGCCAGGGCCCATGCCTTCTTTTGGGGTTGGGGGGAGTGAGTGAGGGGCGCCAGGGAGAGGACCTCAGGGGGGAGCCCGACGCGTTCTCCTGGTCCTAATGGTGCCCACTCACCGGAGGACCATGGGTAAGCTGCCTCTGGGCTTCCGCTGCTCCGACTGGGAATGGGCTTGCCCAGTGGTTCCTGTTCTAGGTTGCGTATCAGAATCACGTAAGGACTTTTGAAAATATATTCCTGAGTTGCAAGCCCAGGATTCAGAGCTCTGGGGTGGAGTCTGGGGATCACATTTATTTTTTCAAAGTCCACCAGGGATTCTGCCGCTCACCAGTTTGGGAAACCCAGGAAAGGTATCTTGAACCTTCCCAGTTCCAATCCTAAGTCCTAGCCCAGCGGTCGGCAAACTCATTAGTCCACAGAGCCAAATATCAACAGGACAACGATTGACATTTCTTTGGAGAGTCAACTTTTTTAAACTTCAACTTCTTCTAACGCCACTTCTTCAACATAGACTCGCCCAGGCCGTGGTCTTTTGTGGAAGAGCCACCCTCAAGGGGCCAAAGAGCCGCATGCGGCTCGCGAGCCGCGGTTTGCCGACCACCATCCTAGGGTTCTGAGGGTGTCGCGGGCTCCAGATCCAAGAGAGCCAGCTCCGCTCGTTGCTCTGGCAACTGGCTCAGTCCTCGCACTAGCCACAAAAATGCATCAGGTGCAACTCTTTCCGCCAAGGGAGAGTCAGGCCCCAAGCCCCCCCATACCCGGCACCTGGAAGGATGTTCTAGGCCTGAGAAATGGGGTAGGTTTCCCCCTAAGCCTCTATGAGCAAGCCTACCCCTGGGAACTGCCTTCGAACTCTCTCAAAGCTAAGGTGACCAGACGTCCCGCTTTTGGCGGGACAGTCCCGATTTTTCAAAAATCGGGACTGTCCCGCCAAAAGCGGGACATCTGGTCCCCTTACTCAAAGCCCTCTCTGGCATAACACGGGGAGACCACAGGTTTTACCAATCTGGAAAACGGGAATAAACAACGGCCCACCCCCACCAGGAACCGGGAGAACTAAAAGAGAAAGCACTTCCAAGCAATTCAAGACGCTTCACATGCACCAGTGGTTGGCAAAGCGTGGCTCGCGAGCCACATGCGGCTCTTTGGCCCCTGGAGTGTGGCTCTTCCACAAAACACCACGTGCGATTGAAACTTCGTGGCCCATGCGCAGAAGCCGGTTTTCGGCCTGAGTCTACTTTGAAGAAGTGGTGTTAGGACACTCAAGGGGCCAAAGAGCCGCGTGCGGCTCGCGAGCCGCGCTTTGCCGACCGCTGACATGGATGATACCGATATTTTTCCAAACCCCTCTGCCCAGAATGGGCCACTGGGTCCTAAGGATGGCGATTCCGTGAAGGCCTCAGCCTTCTGGGAGAGGAAGCTGGCAGGCACACAGAAGTCTTAGCATGTGGACTGAAGTGTTTCAACGCTTTAATTGAAGCTCAGGACTCTCCCCCACTTTTCACACATACACACACGGAAATCACCAACCCTGTCCTCTCTGAGCCAATTATAGGCGAGGACTGTGAGAGAGAAGCAAGTCACTTGTGCCTACCCCTGAGCCGCTCACGCCTCATGCTGCTGTGAATCACATGGCCCAGCACTGCCCTGCGGCGGCCTGAGTAATTCCTCCGCCCCCTCTTCAGGTTTTCCTCTTATTTAAAACAAAATAGTTCATTCTGCAGGCCCTGCAGCCAGTATCTCTACGTAAAGAAACCAAGGCTCAGAGAAAGGAAGTCACTCACCCAGGTCAGTTATGGCTGGCTGGCCGGGAGGCTGGGTCCTTCCCTGACACCCTTCTGAACCCCAGTCTCAGCTCGGGGTTCAAAAAAGACACCCACCAATGACAGAGGCAGGGACTTCAGTGGGAAAGGGATCCTGGAAACGTTTGGGGGGAGGAGGGGAGCAGTGCAGGGTGTGTGTCGTGAGATTTGGAAGGACTGGTGGAGGGGGGGCGGCAACTCAGAATCTCCGCTGTGCATTGATCAGAGGCCACGGACGAACCTTCTAGACGCTGCCCAGCTACTGACTTACAGACCAAGCGTGTCTGGAGGGCAGGGATTTGGTTGTCCCCTTACTAGGGGTGTCGAACTCAATCAGAGAAGGGGCCAAAATCTAAAATCCAGCCTAAATCGCGGGCCGAATGGTTTACTGAACAGTCATAAACTGTCATTGTGATGGAAACGCAGCGGAGTGCAGTGATGACAGCGCGGTGCGGGCCACATTGCAAGGCCTGGCGGGACGGATTTGGCCCGCGGGCCTTGTGTTTGACACATGGGCCTTAGACAATAGTTACTGAGGGTCTTCCACGCGTTCCCTTGGAATGTGTTCAGTCACTTGTTCAACGAAGATTTATTGAGGACCTACTGTGTGCCAGGCGCTGCACTAGTCCCGGGGATACAAGTGTGAACCAAAGAGATCCTATCCCTTTGCCCTCTCGGAGCTCACATTCTAGCGGAGGGAGCCGGGCCATACACAAGCAGACACGTACAGTGAGATCACTGCGGACTGCGCTGAGGACAGGGACGGGAGGGCGCTGGCAGCTGCCATGGAGACTCACAGGTGGCCCTGCCTAAGTGGTCAGGGAAGGTCTCTCGGAGGAGGTGACATCTGAGCTGAGACCTGAAAGATGAGGAACAGGCCAGGTGGAAAGCAGGGGGAAGAGATGCCAGGCGGAGGAGAAAGCAGATGCAAAGGTCCTGAGGTGGGCGTGCTTGGCAAGTGGGTGAGCAGCCTGCTCCACCCGGGGTATCGCGGGAGTTTGGAAAGTGGCGGGAGCCACATGGAAGGGAGGGGGGTAAAGGCCATTGTCAGCTGGGTGACTCTTGCCCACACCAGGGAGCCCCTGCGAACATACCAGAGGTTCCATGACTAGCCCAAGGTCATAACAGTAGCGAGGGATCCACCTTGCCCGGGTTTTTTGTTTTGCTTTAAATCCTCACCTGAGGATATTTTCCCACTGATTTTAGAGAGAGTGGAGAGAGAGGGAAAGGCAGGGAGAAACATCGATGTGAGAGAAACACATGGATCGGTTGCCTCCTGCATGCGCCACGAAGGGCCCGGGCCAGGGAGGACCCTGCAACCGAGGTGCGTGCCCTTGACCGTCATTGAACCTGGGACCCTTTGACCACAGATTGATGCTCTACGCACTGAGCCACACCGGCTAGGGCTCTTGCCTGGGTTTGGATGCTCCGCTACTGCTACCTGGTTCTGGGTCGCAATCCAGGAGACCTGTGGAGCCTGGCAGCTCAGGTTCCCACGGGGATGTCCCCAGATGGCGAGGGAGACACTGAGTGCCAGGCGGTGCCAAGGCTTCCCCTGGCACTGGCTGTGACCTGACCAAGAGCTGTTCCCCCGCCGAAAACCCAAGTTCAAGCATCTAGCTTTCTCCTCACCAACAACCTTGCAGCCTGCAGCTCCCCAGCTGGGTGCCACCGGCTTATGCCTGCCCTTACCTGTCTGCCCTCCCCCTGCCCACCGGCCCCTCCAGCCCTCCCCTCCGGCTTGACCCCCAGGCTCACCTCGGCCACCTTTCTCTCTCATCAGCACCTTCCCTTCCCTCCTTCCCTTGTCCTCCCGCCACACACACCTGGCAGAACCCCAACCTTGGATCCATCCGCCATCCTTTCTTTTTTTTTTTTTTTTTTTTTTTCCACTCATACTCCAGAGCTGCTAAGAGCGCAGGAGAAAATCACATAAGCAGAAGGCTTGGCATTGCTCCCATGGTCTCCAACCCCGGTTTGGGGGAGGCAGAGGGCGCGCAGACTTTGGACTCAAACAGATCTGCTTTGGAAACCTGGTCCCGCACGGGCTGCGTGACCTTGGGCAAGTTACTTCAACTTCTGGAGCCCCCCCCCCCCTGCGAAATGGGGGTAACGATACCCCCCTCACAGGAGGCTCCCAGGATGAAACGGGAACCCATGCAAAGCACCCAGCCTGCTGCCTGGCACAATGTAGGCGCTTGGCAAATGGGAGACTCCTTTTCTCCTGTTGCCCCAGCCCCGCTGCCCCAACCAGCCCCCCCTTGCCGCCCTGCCCTCCTGCCCCTTTTGCCTGGAGTGCTCCCTCTCCCATCACCCTCATCAGATGGAACAGGAGGGGGGTCAGAGGGGTTGAGGGGGGCCCAGGGGCCAGAGAAAAGGCTGGAGACGGGGGTGGAAAGGGCTGGATGGAGGCCTAGGAAGGGAGGGAAGGGGTTGGAGGTTGAGGAGACTCCAAGGGTTTAGGGTGAGCGAGCCGCCCCGAGGTGGAGCTGGGAGAGCCGAGAGCCAGAACCCCCTCCCGGCGCCAGGCCCGCGGCCGGCTCCCTGCCCCGATCACTCACCAGGCCGGGGCTGCGAGCCCTCCAGGTGGTAGGAGAAGCGCAGGGCCCGGTGGTGCTGCGGGCTGGGGCCGCAGGGCAGGACTCGGGGGCCCGGAGGGGCGCCCAGGCCAGCGTCCGAGGGTCCCGCACACGGGGGCTCCGGGGCTCCGCCGAGAGCCGAGCCCGAGTCCCGGAGCGCCGGCGGCCCGGGCTCCGAGGCGCCGGGGTCCGAGTCGGCGCAGGCCGGCGGCGCGCCGGGGGGGTTCGCGGCCGGGTGCTCGGGCTCCGGAGGCCCGGCGCCCCCCGGGGCTCGGTGGCCGTGCATGGCCCGGGCCTGGGCGCGGGGCCCGGGCTCCCCGCTTGGCGCCGGCTCCTGGGGTGGAGGCGCGGGCGGCGGAGGCCCGGCGCCCGGCGGAGCAGCGGCTTCGGGCTCGGGGGGCGGGGCTGCGGGCTCAGCCCCACTGCGGAGCCCCGAGTCCCCAGCCCGGGCCCGGGCCGGCGGCCGTGGCAGCGGCGGCAGGACCGGCAGCAGCCGCGGCCACCGCCGCTGCCGTGCCTGGCATCGCCGGCCCGGGCCCCGCGCGGGGAGTGGGCTCGGCGGGGCCGGGGGCCCGCGGGGGAGCGCTGTCTATGCGGCGGCGGCCGGCCGAGGGTCCGGGCTCCCCCGCAGGCGGCGAGCCGCTTCCGAGGCCCCGGGGCGAGGCGGGCTGCCGGGAGAGCGGGGTCTCTCCTTTCTCCCCGGAATGGGAATCGATCTGGGCTCCCCTGGCTGGTCGGCGAGGGTTCTTCCTCCCGCCGCAGCGGAGGCCGGGGGGCGGAGGGGCGGGCAGGGGAGGGGAGGAGGGGGAGGCGGGCGGCGGAGGCGGGGGGCGCGCGTGTCCGCCTCGCGCTCGGGCTGCGGGGCTCGCCCTCGGCCGATCGGTCCGGAGGATGCTCCCGCCGCGGGGGCAGGGGAGCGGCCAGGGCCTGGCTCCGCCGTCCTCCCCGGCCTCGGCCTGGGTCTCCGCGGCGGCGGGCGGGAAGGAGCCCGGGGAAGGGGGGTGGGGAGGCGGGAGCGGCGGCGGAGGCAGCCGCAGGCACAGCGGCGCTGGGACCCAGTTCCCCGGGCCCCGCCCCCTCGCCGGGATTGGCTCCTGGCCACGCCCCCTCACCGGGGCCGCCTCACTTCTCGCAGCGCCCGCCCCCAAATCCCCCCCCCCCCAAAATTCTCCCTCTGCCTGCCTTCCCCAACCGCTCCTGGCCCCCCACAGGCAAAGCTCCTGGCTCAAACCCCCCCCCCCCCCCCCATCTGCCTTTCTGTCCCATCTCGGGTCTTCCTCCCTCCGCTTGTCCTTCAATGTCTTTTCCAGAAGCTTGGCCACATGTTCCAGAGTTTCCCTATGGCTCAGCTCAGAGAGGGCTTGTCTCGGATACTCTTCACTCGGCTGGGAGGACCGGACCTCATGGTCGTTTACTTGGCCCTTCTCTTGCCAGCAGCCTCAGTTCCCAGGATTGTCGCATACGCCTGGCAAGATCCCAGCCTTGGGCCAGTCCAACTATCCGCCTTTTCCATGCCTGTGCCCAGGCGGCTAAACACTGCGAGAGCAAAGCATCCAGCCTCATAAATGTGTGCCACTATAAACTCTTGGTCCCTAGCTTCCACTAGGCCCTCAAAGCTGACCTACAACTCTATGTCCCCAGGCAGCTCCCCCCCCCCCCCCCCCGCCTTCTACAGCAGCTATTTCACACCTCCCCCTCCTCACACACCCAACTTCACCAGCCTCGACCCTCAGCAGATGTCCCCCCTCCTGCTTCACAGAGTCACCAAGAAGGAAATTTTGGACTTTTCGCCACCAAACCTACCGAGTCTGCCCCTTGCCCCTTCCCATCAGCATCTAAACATACCCAGGTCTCTTCCATCTCTAAACAGATCAATTACCACAAAGTCTGCCTCTCCGACAACCTCCCTCTCTTCATAAACTTCGCAAGAGTCGCCTACACGTAACTGTCTTAATTTTCCCACTTCCCACTTATCTTTCAACCCACTCCAATCTGTCTCCACGACTTGCCTGATACTGCTCTCTCATCAAGGTCTGTGTGGCCTGTATAACGAAACCCAACAGAATCTTTTTAAAAATATATATCTTTATTCCTGTCAAAAAGGGAGGGAGAGGGAGAAAGAGAAGGAGGAGGAGAGAGAGAGGGAGAGAGAGAAACATCAATGATGCAAGAGAATTACTAATTGCTGATCACCTGCCTCCTGCATGCCCCACACTGGGGATGGAGCGCACAACCCGGGCATGTGCCCTGACTGGGAATCGAACCATGACCTCCTGGTTCATAGGTCAGTGCTCAACCACTGAACCACACTGGCTGGGTCCCAACAATCTTTTCAGAGGTCATCCTACCTGACTTTTTGGTAGCATTTGACCCTGGTGACCACTCCCTCCTCCTTAAGCCACTTCCATGACACCACATTTTAATTTTTCTCCTACTTCTTTGTAATTCCTCTTTACTTTCCAGAATCTTCTTTGTCCATCCTTGAAATGATGGTGCCCTTTAGGGCTTTGGCTTGAGCACTCTTGTCTTCTTTCTCATCGGCTCCCATGGCTTCAATTACCATTTCTTTGAAGATGACTCCCAAATTGATGCCCCAAGTCCGGATATTTCTCTTTTTAAAAAAGAGATAGTGCCCTAACCGGTTTGGCTCAGTGGATAGAGCGTCGGCCTGCGGACTCAAGGGTCCCAGGTTCGATTCCGGTCAAGGGCATGTACCTTGGTTGGGGCACATCCCCAGTAGGGGGTGTGCAGGAGGCAGCTGGTCGATGTTTCTCTCTCATCGATGTTTCTAACTCTATCCCTCTCCCCTCCTCTTTGTAAAAAATCAATAAAATATATGTATATTTTAAAAAAGAGGTAGTATTACAGATATCTCCCATTTTCTCCCCTCCCCCCTCCTCCCAGCCCCTTACCAACTCTAGGTCTTTACCACCCTGTTTAACTCTTCTTGTTCCCCCAATAATACACTGAGGTATGCCAGTCTGTTCTACACCTCCCTGCTTTGGATCTTTTTTTTTTTTTTTTTAATATATTTTATTGATTTTGTACAGAGAGAAAGGGAGAGAGATAGCAAGATAGAAACATCGATGAGAGAGAGTCATCGATCAGCTGCCTCTTGCACACCCCCTACTGGGGATGTGCCTGCAACCAAGGTACATGCCCTTGACTGAAATCGAACCCGGGACCCTTCAGTCTCCAAGCCGATGCTCTATCCACTGAGCCAAACCGGTTTCGGCTGGATCTTATTTTGTTGGTGAATTCTTTTTGTTCATTAGATTCCACAAATAAGTGAGATCATGTGATATCTGTCTTAGATATTGCTCTTGACCTATGCATTCAACTGGTTACTAAACAGCTCTACCTGATACCTCAGAGACACTCCAAATCTTAGCTTCTCCCCAACTCAAAACATGCTTTACCCAACCTGTTTGTCCTTTGTATTTTGCCTTAGTGACTGATTCCAATCAAAGCCAAGCCCTGAGCCATACCCCTGATTCTTCTCTCTGCTCCATCTGCTGCAATCACCAAGTCCCACTTTAAAAAAAAAAAAAAATTCTCCCTGAGGATATCTTTTCCATTGATTTTCTTAGAGAGAGTGGGAGGGAGGTGGGGAGACAGAGAGAGAAACATCGATGTGAGAGAGACACATCAATTGGTTGCCTTCAGCACGCACGTAGACCGGGACCAGAACCAGGGATGGATCCTGCAACTGAGCTATGTATCCTTGATGGGAATGGAACCCGGGGCCCATCAGTCCTCAGGCCAACTCTCTATGCACTGAGCCAAACTGGCTAGGGCAAGTCTCATCATTTTAACCTCCTGACTCTCTCCCAAATTGATTTCCATAGTCTCTTCATGTCTGCTGCCACTCCCCGAGGCCAGGCCAGCATCATTTCTAAACTGCAGTGCTGTCCCTGCCTTCCCATTGCACTCCTGTTCCCTGGAATCTATTCTCTACACCACATGTGTCAAACACAAGGCCCGCGGGCCAAATCTGTCCTGCCAGGCCTTGCAATGTGGCCCGCACCGCGCTGTCATCACTGCACTCCGCTGCGTTTCCATCACAATGACAGTTTATGACTGTTCAGTAAACCATTCGGCCCGCGATTTAGGCTGGATTTTAGATTTTGGCCCCTTCTCTGATTGAGTTCGACACCCCTACGTCTACACTGTAGGCAGTTGATATTTTGAAAAGGTAAATCAAATCATATCGCTTGGATGTTGAGAACCTTTCAATGAATCCCCTTTGACTCAAAAGGAAAGTTACCTTCCATAACAGGGAAGGTTAAGCTGCGCCCTCCATGGTCTGGCCCCTACCAGGCTGTCTAGATTCCAAGCAAGCAAAAGCTAAAATTCTTAGACTGTTTTAGTCTCTCTAGCCTCTGCATGAAACTCTCTCCACATCTCCACTTCATTTGTTCTTCAGATCTCCACTCATTTAAAAAATATATATATTTGTATTGATTTCAGAGAGGGAGAGGGAGAGAGAAACATCAATGATGATAGAGAATCACTGATAAGCTGCCTCCTGCACGCCCAGCATTGGGAATGGAGTCTGAAACCCAGCCATGTGCCCTGAGCGGGAATTGAACCATGACCTTCTGGTTCATAGGTTGATGCTCAACCATTGAGCATGTTGGCCGGGTACCACTCATGAATGCCTTTTGAGCACAAACCATGGGCCAGGAACCACGTGTAGCGCTAGTTACACAGTAGTGAATAAGACAGATACGAATAAGACTGTGGTCAACAGCCTTGGCCAAATGGATAGCTCATTTGGTTGAAGCATCATCACAATACAAGGTTGTGGGTTTGATCCCTGGTCAGGACACATGGCTGGGTTTCAGACTCCATGGAAGAATCAACCAATGAATGCATAAATAAGCGGGACAACAAATCTCTCTCTCTCTCTCTCTCTCTCTCTCTCTCTCTCTCTCTCTCTCCCTTCCCCCTTCATCTCTTTCTAAAATCAATAAATAAAACAAAAATTTTAAAGGCTGTGGTGAGCCCTGGCTGGTTTGGCTCAATGGATAGAGCATCGGGGTCCCAGATTCAATTCTGGTCAGGAGCATGTGCCAGGTTGTAGGCTTGGAGATTCTCTCTCATCATTGTTGTTTCTGTCTCCCTCTCCCTCTCTGAAATCAATAAAAATATATATTTTTAAAAAGATTGTGGTGAACAAACTTGGCCCTTGCAGTTTACAGTCTGATGCTGGAGGGACCATGAAGTAAACACACGTAGCGAATACACATAAACATGCATAATTACCAATTGTGATCTCATATAATAAAAGGGTAATATGCATATTGATCAAACAACAGAATGACCGGTCGCTATGACACGCATTGACCACCAGGGGGAAGACTCTCAATGTAGGAGCTGCCCCCAGCCTGCAGGCCCTGATTGTCTGATTGGGGCCTGCCGGCCAACCTCTCAGTCCCTTCCCCCAGTGGGCAGGCTCTGATCATCCAATGGGGAATGGGGAACCAGAGGTGGGAGGCGGGGACACCTGCATCACCAGGCCAAGGACCCCACCCCGCTGGCTGCCCACACTCAGCGGGCAACTGGTGTTGGGGGATGGGCTGGTGAGTGGGTGGACAGCCAACCTCTCAGTCCCTCCCCTTGGCTGGCAGGCTCCAATTGCCTGATGGCGAACTGGGAGAGGGGGTGGCAGCAGGGGGCAGGGCCAGCTGCCAGCAGCGGGGGAAGATGGCCCTAATCGCAGGCCAGACCTGGGGACCATACCTGTGCACGAATTTCGTGTGCTGGGCCTCTCGTAAGGCTATAAAGGGACAGAACAAGGTGATAGGAACTAGATCATGGGCGGGGTAATTTAACTTGGAGGGGTCAGACAAGGACTGCTAGTTAAGCTGAGATTGAAGGAATGGGAGTTAGCAGATGATGAGTGGAGGCAAGAGTGTTGCAGGCAGAGGACACAGCAAGAGGGAAGGCCCTGGGGAACGGTATACTTAGGAACTGTAGGAAGGCCAGAGTGTCTAGGCACATGTGTCAAACACAAGGCCCGCGGGCCAAATCCGTCCCGCCAGGCCTTGCAATGTGGC